CATTAACTACTGCACAGTCCTACAATCCAATCACCTCTTCCAGACTCCACCTTTCAATTACCATAACAGGATTTCCTACCCTCCCAACAGTCACAGTGGGAGCTAAGTTTCTAATACATAAAACTTGGGGGACACAATTCAAGCTTCAGTGAGTTGTGGGGGACATAATTCAATCCACTACAGGGACCTACTGCACCAGTGAGCTAGACTGCCTGTGTTGGGGTTGGGGGGAGGGGGGAGGTTGGAGAGCCTGCCTTGGGAGTGTTGGAGAAGTCAGGAAATGAGGAGTGGGGTTCGAGTGGAGTTTGGAGGGGCAAGAGGGGCTGAGAGACACAGCACTGAACAGAAAGTGTTAGCATATTGTAAGGGCAAATATAAGTGTTAGCTATTATATTATTCTTGTTATTATTACCGTTATCAGACGGGATGCTATATTTTCTGAACATGTGCTGAGCTATGGTGGTTGCATCCCCAGCCTTTGTAGGAGCCATACTCTCTGAAAGTCCTCTATTAGGACTTTTCCTGTAGTTTAAGCATTGCCTTCTCTAAGATCCTCCTTTAAATACAAAAAAACACTTAAAAAGAGACCCCCCATACCTATATCTAAATACAGAATCAATAAAAGAATATATAAGTAAAAATATAATAGAGGAGAAAATGAAATGAATACTTGATTAGTCCGACAGAGGGCAAGAAAGAAAGAATAGAGGAATAAAAACAGATGGGACAAAGAAGAAACAAAAAGCAAGATGTGGGGCTAGCCGGATAGCTCAGTTGGTTAGAATGCAGTGTTAGGATACCAAGGTCAAGGGTTTGGATCTTCTTACTAGCCAGCCATCAAAAAAAAAAAAAGCAAGATGCAAGTTTTTAGCCTACTATATATTTTTTCTTTATAAAGATGACCGATAAGGGGATCTTAACCCTTGGCTTGGTGTTGTCAGCACCACGCTCAGCCAGTGAGCAAACCGGCCATCCCTATATAGGGATCCGAACCCGTGGCCTTGGGGTTATCAGCACCGCACTCTCCCGAGTGAGCCACAGGCTGGCCCTTAATTAAAATAATTATGAATGGACTAAACACTCCAATTAAAAAATAAACATTGTCAGACTGGATTTTAGAAAAACAATTATATTCTGGGGCAGCCCGTGGCTCACTTGGGAGAGTGTGGTGCTGATAACACCAAGTCAAGGGTTAAGATCCCCTTACCAGTCACCTTTTTAAAAAAAAAGAAAAAAAAGAAAAACAACTATATTCTGTTAAAAGAGACATACTCTAAATATAAGGACACAGAACTACTGAAATAAAAGGACGGAAAAATATACACGGTCAACACACTAACCAAAGGAAAGCTAGTGTGGCTATATTAATTTCAGACAATGTAAGTCAAGTAGCATTTCTAGAAACAAAGAGGAGCATTTTATAGTGATAAAAGAGTCAATTCAACACAAAGATAAAACAGTCCTAATTGTATATGCATCTAATAAAATAGCTTCAAACTATGCAAAGAAAAAGAGGACAGAACTAAAAGGAAAAACAGGCAAGCCCACAATTACAGTTAGAGATTTTAACACAAGTCTCTCAATACATTTGAATAAGCAGACAAAAGAAATCAGGAAGGATTGAGAAGATTTAAATAGCATGATGGGGCTAGCCAGTTAGCTCAGTTAGAGTGCAGTGTTATAACATCAAGGTCGAGGGTCCAGATCCCCATACTGGACAGCTACCAAAAAATAAATAATAAATAAATAACATGATGAATCAACTTGATCTCATTGACTTATGTAGAGCTCTATACCCAACAACTACAAAAAACACATTTTTTCAAATGCACATAAAACATTTACCAAAATACATTATATGTTGGGATATAAAGCAAGTATCAACAAATTTTAAAAGATTGAAGTCATATAATATTCTCAGACCTAGAATTAACTAGGAATTGAAAAAACAAAACAAAACTAGATTCCAAAGTATTTGGAAATTAAGCAACATGGTTCTAAATAACTCATAGGTGAAAGAGGAAATTATAATATTTTTAAGGAGCTGGCTGGTTAGTTCAGTTGATTAGAGCATGGTGCCCTGATAACACCAAGGTCAGGTTTTGATCCCTGTACTGGCCAGCTGCCAAAAAGAGAAGAAAAGAAGATATTTTAAAATAAATGATTATGGGGACCGGCCTGTGGCTCACTCGGGTGAGTGTGGTTCTGATAACACCAAGGCCATGGGTTCGGATCCCATATAGGGATGGCCGGTTAGCTCAATGGGTGAGCATGGTGCTGACAACACCAAGTCAAGGGTTAAGATCCCCTTACTGGTCATCTTTTAAAATAAAAAAATAAATAAATAAATAAATGATTATGAAAATAAGCATATCAAAACTCACAGGATGCAACTAAGGTAGTATCCAGAGGGAAATTTATACCTCCACATGCATATTTTAGAAAAAAAGAAAGGCTGGGAAGCCAATTATCTAAGTTTCAATCTCAAAAAGCTAGAAAAAAAGAGTGAATTAAATCCCAAGAAAGTAGAAGGATGAGAGGATAAGAGTGGAAATCTATAAACAGAAAATAAGCATACAGAGAAAATCATTAATATCAAAGTAGTTTTTTGAAAAAATTAATAAAATTGATAAACTCCTAGCAAGACTCAGAGAGAGAGCAGGAGAGAGACGGGGGAGTGGGGGGAGAATACTAATTACCAATGCCAGGAATGGTAAAGGAGACATTGCTAGAGATGCTGCAGGCATAAAAAGATAATAAGAGTGTATATGAACAAGTTTATGCTAAATAAATTAGAAAATTTAGATAAAATGGACAAATTCCTTGAAAAATACAACTTACCAAACCTGAAACAAGAAGTGAAAAATCTATGTAGTTCTACACTTTTTATGGGAATTGCATCTATAATTTAAAACTTTTCCAAAAATATCTAAGTACAGATACATTTACAGGTGAATTCTTTGAAGCATTAAAGGAGAAGTAATACCATTTTTATACAAATTATTCTAAAAAACAGGAATAGAAGACAATTCCCAGCTTATTTCAGGAGGACAACATAACATTGATACAAAAATCTGTCAAGAGGAGATATGAATGGTGGTGGTGGCTGCACACCAATGTGCATGTACGTAATACTACTGAACTGTATGCCTAAAAATGGTTAAAAAGGGGAAATTTATATTATGTATATTTTACCACAGCAAAAAAACTCAAGAGCTGGCCGGTTACTCAGTTGGTTAGAGCACAGTGTTATAACACCAGGGTCGAGGGTTCAGATCCCCATGCTGGCCAGCCACCAAAAACAAAACAAAAAAAGAGAACATTACAAGAGGGCTGATGGGTTAGCTCAGTTGGTTGGAGCGCAGCCCTGTAACACCAAGGTCACGGGTTCAGATCCCTGTACTGGCCAGCTGTCCCCCCCCCCCAAAAAAAAGAAAGAAAGAAAATAAAAGAATATTACAAGAAATAAACAAAAGATTATCAAGTTGAATAAGCAGTATATGAAAGGATAATACTTCATGAGCAAGGCCTTCTTCTAGGAATTCCTAGTGGTTTACCATTTGAAAATCAATCAGTGAAAGTCAGCACATAAACAGAGTAACAGGAAAATCCATATGATTCTCTCAATAAAGGGAGAAAAAATTGATAAACATCAATATTCATTGAACTAGGCATAGCAGGGAGCTTCATTATTCTAATAAAGGGAATCTAAAAACACTGTCAGGGTTAAATTTTGAGTGTATTCCCTCTGAGATTAGGAACAAATCAAGGATTTCCATTATCACTATATCATCACTTCTGTATTTTACTGGGAGTCTTAGCAAGTGCAAAAGACAAGAAAAAGAAATAAAGGCAAAACGATTAAAAAGGAAGAATTAAAACTCATCTTAGGTTATAGGATTACATATGTAGGAAATTCAAAAGAATCTACAACTATTAAATTAATAAGTAAATTTAGCAAGGTATTTTAATAATTTATTAAAATTAATAAGTAAATTTATCTGACACAAGGTAAATATATAAAAATTTATTGTGTTTCTATATAACAACAACAAATAATTAGAAAATGAAACTTTAAAAAATACCACTTAAGGGGGCCGGCCTGTGGCTCACTCTGGAGAGTGTGGTGCTGGTAACACCAAGGCCACGGGTTCGGGTCTCATATAGGGATGACCGGTTGGCTCACTGGGTGAGCGTGGTGCTGACAACACCAAGTCAAGGGTTAAGATCCCCTTACCGGTCATCTTTTAAAAAAATAAAAAATAAAAAAAATAAAAATAATTTTAAAAATACCACTTAAAACAGCAAAAAAAAGAAATCATCAAATACTTAGGAATAAATCTTACAAAAGGTGTGCAAGACATTTACACAGAAAACTATAAAACATTACTGAGAAAATTTAAAGACCTAAATAACTGGAAAATTCAATATTGTAAAGATGTCTATTCTTCCTAAATTGATCTATAGATTCAATGTCATCTCAACCAAAAATCCCAGTTAAGTTTTCTGGGGCAGAAATTAATAAGCTGAGGCTGGCTGGTTGGCTCAGGTGGTTAGAGCACAGACTTATTAACACCAAGGTTGCACCGTATACTTGCCAATACTTAAAATTGTTGGTCCTTTTTATTTTTGCCATGTTAGTAGAGGTATGTTAATAGTGCATGAGGGATTGAGTGTGTATTACCTGGTTAGGAATGATGTTGAGCAGCATTTTCTGTACTTAGCTATCTGGTTGTCTTCTTTTGTAAAGTGCCTATTTAAGTATTTTGCTTCTCTCTTGATCCCCTCTTTTAAAAATCAGATCAGGGGCCGGCCCGTGGCTCACTTGGGAGAGTGCGGTGCTGATAACACCAAGGCGGCGGGTTCGGATCCCTATATAGGGATGGCCGGTTAGCTCAATGGGTGAGCGTGGTGCTGACAACACCAAGCTAAGGGTTAAGATCCCCTTACTGGTCATCTTTTTTTAAAAAATAAAAATAAATAAAAATAAAAATCAGATCGTCTTTTTCTTATTGATTTGTAGGAACTCTTTATTCCTAAGACAAGCCTTTTGTCAGTTATAGTGTTGCCAGTATCTGCTCCTAACCTTAACCCTGCAGGAAGACCAGAAGGCCTGCAGTGAAGATGGGCTGAGGGGCTATGCTCAGTAATGTCAGAGACCGCCCCTTCCCTGGAGCTTTCCTCCGTATCGGTGCATGGGCAGGGAAACAGATCCTTACAGGTGGAGACCTCTGATGTAATGTATGAGCAGGACAAGGTGAAATTCACTGTTCATACCAAGGTGAGGTGGCATGGGGGGTGATGGGGCGGTCCAGATGGCTGCCTGCGGGAGGTTTTGCCCAGTGGGTGGTAGGTGGATGCTGGCACAGCCTTTGGGCCCTGTTCCTCAAGCTGGCTCTTGCCCAGGGCCTCTCTTAGAAAGCCTTGATGGGGCGGTCCAGATGGCTGCCTGCGTGAGGTTTTGCCCAGTGGGTGGTAGGTGGATGCCGGCACAGCCTTTGGGCCCTGTTCCTCAAGCTGGCTCTTGCCCAGGGCCTCTCTTAGAAAGCCAGCATCTATCTGGTCTCTGGTTTCCTTTGCCTGAGGCCCTGAATCCTAACATCCCCTGGATACCATCCTGAGTAAAATCATGGACACCTGAGTCCCAACTTGGGCCTCACCTGGGTTGTGGGATGTAGGTGCTGAGGAGGCTCAGTGGGGCAAGGTTTGGGGTGGAGAGGGAGACCGCAGACAGGCTTTTGGCTTCCACAGTTTCCTCCCTCACTTCGCCTAGACTGAGTTCACAGTTGTGCAGCAGCACGAGTTCAACTGGCTACCTGATGCTTACGTGGAAGACGAGGAGTCTGCCGGCCTCATCACAAGGGGCTTGGAGGCATGGACCTGGGCATTTGGGTGAAGGGGTGGAGGCTGTGATGGCTTCCCCAGCAATGAGGGGTCCTCTTTTGAGCAGATCCTTCCAGTCCCTCCAAGGCCAGACTTTGAGGCTTCTAGAGAAAAGCTGCAGAAGTTGGGTGAGGGGGACAGCTCCATCACTCAGGAAGAGTTTAGCAAAATGAAGCAGGAGCTAGAAGCATGAGTGCCGCTTCCTTTCCTCGCCTGGGGCAAAGCTCCAGCCCCAGCCTCTCCCCAGAGCCCCAGGATTTCTTCCCCAGCTATCCCCCATGGGTGTTTAGGGACCCTGATCTCTGGTCCCAGGACTGCTTAGGGAGAAGGGAGGTAGGATGATGGGAGCCAAGGAGGGCCCTCCAGCCCCCTGCCACTCCCACAGGAGTACCTGGCCATCCTTAAGACGGTTGCAATGCATGAAGTCTTTCTGCAGCGTCTGGTGGCCCACCCCATCGAGTCGAGGCCACAACTTGTCTTTTTGAAATATGGGCAGGATGTGAGCTGGTCAGAGTGCTGGGGGCACCCCCGGGGCAGGGGTCTGAGATGGGGGGAAGGGACAGGAGTAGCGGGGCTGAAGGGGCTCCAAGTGGAGTCAAGCCTCAGTCTCAGTCAGCTCCATGAGTGGCATGTAAGGTGCAAATGCCTGCCCCACCATCGCGCCCTCCTGCTGTATGCCTCAGCTGAGTATCTGAGGAAAGAACAGGCAGGAGCTCCGTGGGGGGGTTTCTGAGAAATATTGTGAGGTCTGCAGATGAAGCCCTCATCACAGGCAATGTCAGGGCTCAAGGTGACCCCTGGGGCCCCTCTTTGGAGTCAAGCCCAGAGTCCACAGCAAGGATTGAAGGCTGCCTATGACAGGGAGGCCACTGGTGGGGCTTGGCCTGGGTTGGAAGATTATGCCACCCCTGGGTGCTCATGCTGCCATGCTCGTGACCCGGTGTGAATGGGTCCTGTCTGGCTCCCTTAGGAGGTGGATGGCTTCTCTGAGCATGAGAGGCCATCCTGCAGGAGTACCACGCCTGCACCCGAGAAGCCTGTCTGCGGGAGAATCGTGTTATGCACTCCCAAGAATGTATGCAGGCCTTGGGCCCTGGATCCTGCCCCTCTCCCAGTGGTTCTGCTCCCTGGGGGGAGAGAAGATAGCAGGGAATGACCTGGTGTCTGTCCATGGCCACAAGCACCAGTGGTTGGACTTGGTGAGCAGACCTAGGGGCTCTGATGGGGTGTTGTTCCCCACCAGGCCTGGCAGACGATTATCTCCCTCTCTCTGCTTGCACTGAGCAGTCTGGGAACACAGGAAGCCAACCACCTAGACAGGAGGACTCCCTCTTGCTCCACCTGCCCTCTCCCTAGGCCTATAATACTGAGTCTGCCCATGAGGAGTTGCTCTGTAGAAGTCTACTGTCAGCTCTAGGTGGGAGGTATAGAAGCTGCTGTGGAGGTTTGGGAGAGATGGAGAGGATTCCCGGAGGAAGGGGCTGAGGGCAGGGAGGCCTTGAGCTGTCCCTCAGACCCCTGCCCTAACTCCTCCCCACCGCCTGAGAGCTTCCTCATATTGGCAGAGCTCTTTGAACACCTGAGGGTGAATACTGCATTCTGTATACAAAGGCTTTCCCAGTGAGCCTATGCGGGAAAGACGTGTCCAGGGAAAGAGGAATGCCCCAGGATCATTTTGGAATGTTCAGTGATAACTTGGGCCCAGTGGCACCCTGGGCTCTCACTCCATAGTAGTATAATAGAAGGTGGAGGAGAGACAAGGATCCAGCCTCAAGTGTGTGTGAGGGGGAGGGGTGGGAAAGAGGCACGAGGATGTGCCACGTGCCCCTGGCAGGCTGCCTGAGCTGCCAACATGCTGCCCAGATGCTCACTTCCCCGACTCTTCTCCAGGCATCACTGGAGTGTCAATCTTCCTGAAATGTCTGTTGGACCTTCTCTCTTCCCTGCTCAAGGCCCTTCCCCTTCCAGAAGCTACCTAGGACACAAAGCCTAAGTCCTTAGCTTACACTTTAGACCTTCTATGATCTGGCCACGGCCTCCATTCCTGCTCATTTGCCCCCACTCAACTGAGAGTTCCCCAAACACATGCCAGGAATGCACACCTGCAGAGCCTTTGGCGTTCTGTCTGGCTAACTCCTACTTGACCCCGAAGTCCTTAGCTTACACTTTAGACCTTCTATGATCTGGCCACGGCCTCCATTCCTGCTCATTTGCCCCCACTCAACTGAGAGTTCCCCAAACACGTGCCAGGAATGCACACCTGCAGAGCCTTTGGCGTTCTGTCTGGCTAACTCCTACTTGACCCCCAAGACCCAGGTCAGATGCCACTTCCGCCATGAAGCCTTTCCTGGTCTGCTCCCCGAACATTAGAGCCTGACCTAGAGTGGTTACCAAGTGATTCTGTGTTGGATATTTAGATGAAAAAGAGCCTCCCACCCCTTACCAAGACCCAGGTCAGATGCCACTTCCGCCATGAAGCCTTTCCTGGTCTGCTCCCCGAACATTAGAGCCTGACCTAGAGTGGTTACCAAGTGATTCTGTGTTGGATATTTAGATGAAAAAGAGCCTCCCACCCCTTAACTGCCCCCCTGGCAAGTTCCCCTCCCATTCACCACCATTATTTTACAGAAGCTGGAGGGCCAAGTGGCCTCCAACAAGGACCTGAAGCCGTCAGACGTGCTGCAATACTACATGAGACTCACAGGGTGGCCGAGGTGAGACACGCCCCAGAGCAGACCTCAAGGCTGGAAGCCAGTGAGCAGGGAAGGCCATGGGCAGCAGTGACCCTGTGCCCACTCGCCCCAGGACCTGCTGTACCAATGGCAGCGGACACTGGCCAACTACAATGCCAAGGCACAGGACAAGCAAGGTATGCACCAGGAACCGGGAGCTGCGGCCGGTTGAGAGCCACTAGCAGCTGTGCTGTCAGCACTTCAAACACCTCTCCAACTCCCACCACGCACAGTGAGCCCTGCAGCCCGTAGCCCCCAGGCCACCTAACCTGCCCAGGTCCCCATTGCTCTTCCCTCTCCCCTGCAGAGCTTAGCAGGAACACGCGTGCGCGCCTGCGTGAAGGGATCAGGCACCCCATGAGAGCAGCCCCAGCTCAAATGCAGGACCCTGTTTCCCCATCTTGGGCCAGGACCCTCCCCTTCTTCATCACTTGTAGTAAGCTCCAATAAATTGCAGCTGTTACTGCTGAGGACAGGGGTGTAGGGAGGGAGAGGGCCCAAGAACTGAGGTGCAGAAAGACCACCACCCTGTCTTGGGGAGCAGGGGGCTTCAAGGACCTCTTTCTCCTCTGCAGGCCAGCATCCTACTTCTCCAGAACACCCTTGTCACCCTAATGGGGGAGCTTTAGAATAGTCAAGAGTCCAGACAGACCTTCCTCTGGGACCTTCAGTGACAAGGGCCTCCCAGACCTCCCTCACCAGCAAGATACCTCCTTCCCTACCACTGCAGCCACTAGCCATGCCCTCACCCTGCCCCAAGTCCTCCCAGGGCAAGTCCAAGCCCACCCCGTCCCAAAGGCACCAGGCCCTGCCAAAATTAGATAGGAGTGCATGGGCACCATACTTGGCCACAGTTCAGAGCCCAGAGACAGCTTCCATACCCTCTCTCTGGCCTCAGAGGAGTGAGCAGCTCATTTGCTCCCAGCCTGTTCTTCACAAATAAAGAGCCTGGTTTTGTAGCAAGGAAGCCTGCTTGTCCTTACTTCCCACAGCTCAAGGTGCCCACCAGGCACACCCTCTCTACCAGGGAATTATGAAGACCAAATCCTGGGGATTCAGAAGGCTTGCCTGCAGCAACCTCAGCCCTTTCTCCAGTGGCAGCGGGCTCTCCATGGAAAGGTACAAGACCCAGAACGTGGGGCCCAGGAACAGTTTTTGAAGTTCGTCCCCACCCCCATAAACCCTACCCCAGACCACAGGTTTAAGACTAATCACAAATTCTCTACACCTGTTTCCTAATGAGGAAAATGGAATTATCCCTCCTTGCCTCCTTCCCAGCACTGTTCACAAGCTCCAAGGAGTCTTTAAGGAACCAACTCTAACTCCAGGAGGTTTTCTCTTTTCAGTTCAGTTGATTAGGGGAGGAGGTATAAATCCTGCATTACTACCAATTCATCCCATCTTAGGGCTTTTTGGATGCCTTTGCCTGCTGGGCAGATGAAAGCCCAAAGTACAGGCTGGAGGCAGCCCACAGCATGCTGGCAAAAGGCTCAGGGCCTGGCAACACCCTTTTGGTTAAACACAGGGAGGTGGGGCTTGAGATACCTGGGTCTGAAGTCCTTGACTCCACCTGGCTGGCCCCACCCTGAATGGACTCCAGCCACATCTACATAAGGCCAAAGAGCTCAACTCGGTCTTTGACTCACAGCAGTCACTGAACCTGGCCCTCATAAATGTGAGTCAGTCATCCAAAGGAGGCGGTGGCAGAGGAAAGAAGACCAAACGGAACCTTGAAGGTGGAAAAAGTAGCTCAACAGACAACCTGTAACCTGCAATAACAGCCTACACCCGGGCAGAACAGAGCAGGGTATCAGAGAGTTGACCTCACTGCCCCACTGCCCACCCAGGTGAGGCTACAGAAGCAGCCAGCTCAGGCATGAGGCCACTTCTGCTTGAGGCTCCCTGCAGCTGGTAGCAGACACACCCTGGGCTCAGCCACCCCTTGAACAGCCAAATTAGCACCAAGTGCACCACCACCAACAGAAGAGCAGTGACTACCAGAAGAAGTCTCAGGCAGTCACTGGGGCCAAATGAGGGTCTGTGAAGGCTGGTTAGGGATGGGGTGTGAAGAACAGAGATGTTGCTTATTCTCCTAGTGTATCTCCCTGCAAGGTCTCCTGGGGCCCCACCCTGAAACAAACATCTCCTTAATGAGTTTTTTTATTGTTCTGTCTTTTTTTTTTTTTTTAATTGAAGGTCTCTTACTGGTCTTGCTTCCATGAGTGGCTGTGACCAGGGAAAAGGGAAGGGAACCAGCCTGCACGGGGAGGGGTCATCTCCACAACATTCCATTTATACACAGAACTAAACAGACAAGCACAGAGTCACTATTGTGGTTAGAAGTTGGCAGCATGGGAAGGGGGAGGAACAGGTAGGAACTAGGGGTGTTGTTAAAAAAAATACAGGCCCCCCCCAAACTGGGGTGCCTGGGGGGAACTTGGTCTGCTTCAACCCAGGAGGAATCAGAAGATCAAAAGCGGTTTGGGAAGGCCAGAACCGTTAGGGATGGAGGGAAGAAGGTCCAGGGGGCGAGGGGGCTGTTTGGCAACTGGGGTGAAGGGATTTCCCTCCCCCTGCTGGGATCCCCCCAGCCCCTCCGGTCTGGCAGGAAGGGGGCAGCCTGCAACCCCCAAGAGCAGGTCTGGGGTTGCCAGATGCTCCAGGCAGGGGGCTGGAGGGGGCTCACAAAGGCTTGCCCTCCAGGGAAATGACAGCACTGCCCCCCAGCTTCTCTGCCAGGGTGCAGCGGTCCTTGACCTCCTCGTAGCAGTTTGCTTGTAATTCATGCTTGATCCCTGTAGGGAAGAAGGGAGCATCTGTGAGCAAGAAGCACCGTGGTTGAGCAGGGAGTTTCTGTGTTTGGGAAGGAGCCAATCAGAGAAGATGGAAGGGACAAAGTTACCTCCCTGCAGGCAGGGAAGAGGAGGGGAAGGACCCCCTCTGCCATGCCATTCACCCGCCCTGCAGCCAAGGCTTTAGCAGAAGGGCACACAGCACCAATGTTGGCCCTTACCTGTCAGCTTCTTCTTGATAGCATCCTTGGAGCTGGCATAGATCATTTTGCTCTTAAGGGGTGCACACTCAGGAGCCCTGGAGAAAAACCAAGAGTCAGAGAACTTGCAGCAACAGCTAACCAACAAATGACTTCAAGAAACCCTTGGGCTAGCACTGAAAAGTGTTTTGTTACAACTCCCTCTCCCAAACCCACACCTCCAGGTTAACCAGGGGCCACAGAAGTTCCCCTCCTGAAAAAGGGGGTAGGGTAAAACTGGAGCAGGTAACAGGAAGAAATGCCTAAATGAGGAGCTCACCAGAAGATGAACACCAGGTCTTCCTTCTTGCTCTCCTTGGTCTCATAGGTTGCGTCATAGAGAGCGTAGCGGCAGTCCTTGTCGGGCAGCATCTTGACAAAGGTAGCGTAGGGGTCGTCAACAGTCTGGCCCACATCACCTACCAGAATCTCCTTGCCCTCCTCCAGGATGATGTTCTTCTTGTCGTCGCTCAGGCAGAAGAGCACCGCCTTCTTGCGCTTCTTCACCTCCTCTGGTGTCGATGATTTGCGCACCTTCATATCATTGAACACCTTGATGACACCATCAGAGACAGCCACACCAGAGGCCTGGGGGACAAACCACACATACCTCATAAGGCAAAGGATTCTAGAAACTGTCCTCTTTGTTTTCTCAGAAGACCACCCTCTGGATGCCAACAAGTATAACCCCCAGCCCCACATCCACCTTTGCTTTCTCTGAGAAAGCAAAGTCCGTCCTCCTCTCCTCCTCTGCTTTCTCAGGAGATCCCACTCTGAATGCCAACAAGTATACCCCCCAGCCCCATGTTCCCAAAAGTCACTAATCTCCTTCCCCCAAATAGTCACTATTTTCCCACCCAAGACACTAAAAAGGCCAGATGAGACACAACCCCAGAATGGCAGCCATGGAAGAGACTTCTGATCATCTAGTTCAACATCCCCCCTACTTCATTTTACAGTATGGAAACTGAAGACATGAAAAGCAGAGCCTTGGCTGAAATTTAAGTGCAGAATTAAAGAATCCACACACTACCGACTCGTTTCCTACTCACAGTACTCAACCTCAGCTTTTGAAAAGAAGTGCCAACACAGAACTTCACAAATATGAGAGGAGGACCCAAACACCGACCTTTAGTCTCCTCTTCAGGAAATAGGAAACTAGGACCCCTTCAGTGCTAGACGGGACACCAGTGGTGCTCAACAGTTCCAGCAAGTCTATCGGAACTGCTCAATGAAGTTATTACACAAACGATCCTGTTCCCTCTGGAGTTTCCCCAACCAAGGTAAGAATCACAACCCGTTATTAGAATACTGCCCGACAACTCCCTATCCTGGTGCATGGCCCCAAGGCAGCTGGTAGAAATTAACATGCTCGGAGTTTCCCCAACCAAGGTAAGAATCACAACCCGTTATTAGAATCCTGCCCGACAACTCCCTATCCTGGTGCATGGCCCCAAGGCAGCTGGTAGAAATTAACATGCTAAACTCTAGTGCCCAGCGTCTTCGAAAGCCCCTTCTACGCTACATGGTACTGGAGAAGGCCCTAGCTCGGAGAGGGAGCGACTGTCCACAGTGAAACCTGCTTGCCCCCCTCCGGAACTGCAGAGGAAGCCGGCCACGTGACTCACCCGCTTCCGGAGTGGGCGGGGAAAGGAGACAGGCTAGGCCCGGCCCCCAACCCGAGAGAAAAACCTGTGCCCTCCAGGCAGCAGTACCTCCAAGGCCTCAACCTCCAGGAATCGCCTTTACCGACAGGCGTATGTGCGCCGTCTGCTGCGAGCCGGAGTCTGGGCAAGTTACACGACCTTTGGTTCTCGCAGCCCTGAGGCCGAACATAGGGGGCGGGCTGGTTTCCGGGCGGTGCCCGCCTCGGTCACTTCCCTAAACTCGGCTCCACCCTCAGGCCCCATCCGGGAAAGCCCAAGGCCCCGCTTTCCGAGGCTTCGGCCCAGGCGGCCGGACCTGGAAGTGTGCGCACGCGCCGCCGACAACGCCGTTCCAGCCCTAGCCCGATGTGCAGGCGAGAACCCAACTCGCTCGGTGGGTTCGCTCGCTCCCGAGGAGGGTCGCGGCCTCTGCAGGGTCCGTCCCACGCCCTGCGGTGCAAGTACCTAACCCCAGGCACCCGCGCCCCAGCCAGGGCCCCGTCGCCGCGCCGCCCCCGCCTGCCCCGGACGCAGGCATCTCTGCCACCTGCTCTCGAGACAAACCCGCCTGCCGAGGGAGGGTGACGCGGAGACAGGAACAGCTCTTGGGTGGGGCGCGCGCATCGAGACCTCTCGCGCGGTTTCCCCTCGCCACCCCCGGGCCAAGTTTGGACACCTCGTGCTCCGTCG